GGTGTCCTCCAATAATGAGGGATCTCTGCTTGAGCTTCTTCCTTAGCAGTATATCTGCAAAAGCAACTGGGCACAGACCAGCGTTATAGAGGCCCTTGAGCCAAGCCGCACGGTATGGGTGAGGAAGAGTTAACACAGGGCACTCATGGAATCTGCGCTAACTGTCCTGATCCTGTACTGATCTCTTTCTATTACTTGGACAAATTGTGTGCTGTGTCTATTCCACGCTACCAATGTATTATTAAATGAATATAGTCAAGTAGATCTATCTCCACTGTATTAAATATCAATCCTGTGTATGTATGCAAGTGTATATTAATATATATATATATATATATATATATATATATATATATATATATTAATAAATATAAATATATAAAATATAATTTATAGATTTAAAAAAAAAATGAAATAGTGACAACAGCTTACAGTCACTTGTGGTCCCCCAACCTATACAAAAAAATTATATGATAATATGATAGACTACTGCCATACCTTCATGACGTAACCAAAACTAGCAATGCATAAAAAACATAACCCAACACCAAAAATATTCCTGTGCATAAATATTATAGGCTGCTTAATTTCAATGCAATTTTAATTATTTATAGTCCTTTGTTATTATTAGCGATTCAAAGTCCATATAAACTTAGTATCTCTGAAAAATCACCCGGAGAATGTTAATTGGTACCTTCTGGTGCTCCCCTCCACCTTTTACCATATGCACTCACCTCTATCTGTAGACCTGTTAAATATTTGTTTCAAATACACCTTCCCCTCATCAGGAGCTACCATCAGATCTCTTCCCTGACGTATCTCCTAGGACATCTGTCCTCCCCTCGTCCACTGAGGGTCCTGCATCCTTTCCCAGAAAAAAGGGGTGTCTGACCCTTTAAAAGATCATGGTTCCTCCTAGGTAGACTCCGGTAGAAAAAAGGGGACTTCATATTGTAGTATATTTAACTAGGATACTTTATTCAATAAAATGGCACTTGCACAAGTGGGTATAATGTTTGCATATACATAGAATATAGAGTGGCTCCCACATTACTTACGGTTATGGCTGTCAATCACCTGGCTCCGCCCAACGTGTGTCATCACAGTCACGCAACTTCCTCAGGGGAATGTCATTACTGGGAGTGAAGTAACAGAGGTACACTGGCTGGTGGAGGTAGCATGGCTCAGCTTGCTACTCCAAATGCAGCAAATTAACTGTGTGTAGAGTTATTGGACATCACTTAACAGAGGAGCTCCACTTTATTACTACATGCAGTGAAAGCTCATCTCTAAGTCAGGGAACTGCTTTACTGAATTTTGCACATGACCGTAGCCCCTGCCTGGTCCCTAGTATTGGTGAGCACCCTCTTGGGCAAAAGTACCCCTAATGCATGTGCATGTTCCTGCCCCCAACTTTTTTTTTTTAGTTTTAGTATTTTTGTATTTAGTTATTACCAGAATGTCATGTTATGTCTGCCAGGGCTGAATACGTATCAGTAACCTAAATGCATTTGTGTAGGGTGGAATACTTTGCAGAAACAGTGAATGGACGTTTGTCTGTGGCATGTGTTTGTCCACTTGCCAGTTATTCATATAAACTTTATTTTCTCCTTCTTGGAACCTGTCCACAGTAGGCATAATAGGCTTCATTTTTCTCTTAGAAGTGATATCTCAGGACCTTTTCTAGGCACACATTTACACTGTATTCCCTCTATATCATGTTTGTACAAAGTTTACATGGCTTTCCATTACTCTGTTGTTGAAAATGTTTGATCTGGGCAGATTAACACAATTATTGCCCACTTCCTATCGAACTCGAGAACAACTGGAGTGCTCGACCACAAAAGCGATTGCATATCAGCACCATGAAAAGTACATTTAAATATTAAAAGATAATAAGTGTTGTGATTTAATGCTTTCCTTGTCTCGTCTTGTGTGCATGTGACTAAACGCCATTGATAAGCCGCAGACTCTGGAGTCACTTGTCTGGCGTGCTATGAGGGCGAAGATTAGCAATTAAAGCGAAAGATACTGAGTATTATATTGAGCTGAGTACCTGCCATGTGTGATAGGCTCTGCAAGCACACTATGGACTCTCCCTGGACTCCATTCACAAGAAAGGTGTGATGGTAAATATTTGATATGTTCTCTTAGTGTCTAGGTGAAGATAATACTTTAGCTATTCAATGAAGCCCCAATTCATTCAGAAAATTATGAGAAAAGGTAACTTTTTTTACTTAGTCTATCATAAGTCAAGAACTTCTTGCATGTTTTCAAAACCTAAGTAAACCACCTTGAACTAAATAGTCACATAGAGTTTTAAAGCCCAACTGAACCATCAGTGTAAATCAGCTAATTGCATTCTATGTGCATCAAACTAAAAGGGTGCAACGTTTTACAATTGGTTTTCTTTGAAAAGCAGCTACAACTGGAGTAGAAAAGCCTGTCCCTTGCCAGCATGCTGTAGAGAAGGAAGCAGGGGTGTCAGTGCAAGGCCTGATATGCCCCCTGCTGAGTCAGAGCTGGAAACACCACTGACAGGGCTTCCATTTTCACCTGGCCTTCCTTCTGGGTTCGCAGGCTTTGGCTGTTTGACTGGTTGAGACGTGATGACGTCACTCCTGCTTATGCGCGTGGGACTCACGACCATGGCACAGATCTCTTAATGGATGCAGGCCGTCCATTGAGAGCGCAGTGAAAATGCGCCAGTGAAGTCACCAGCTGCTACTATAGTAAATATCTCTTAAATGCAGGTTTAGGAGATATTTACTTTACCTACAGGTAAGCCTTATTTTAGTCTTACCTGTAGGAACAAGTAAACAAGTTAGGCTTTACTACCACTTCAAACCATTGAAGAGAGACCACTGCTTCTACATTGAGAGCAAGGTTCCTTGCAATGCTGTCCATGAAAATTAACTGTAAGACCTTGCGCACCTTTTGTTTTGATGCACATTAAATGTGTTTAGCTGATTTAAACTGAAAAAAAAAACAGACTTTTGGGGGATTCCCAAAATAATCTCTTTCCTTACTGGATTTTACTTTTTCTCAATATAAAGCATTGTCAGTAAAAAAAGTTAAACACAGCAATATTTTTTTTTTTAAAAAGGTTCCTTTTATTTATCCAAATCCATGGTCATGTGATGTGCTGGGACCTAAGCGTTCTTTCTTCTGACCTTTAGAGCTGGAGGGTCCTTATTCGAGTGCCCATGTTGCTGTTTGAGTGACATCAACACTTCCTTGGCAGTCCAATGGGGATCCTCCCAATCTCCAGAAGACTTACCACAACTGGGGCCTGCAAAAAGTCCTCAGTAGGCCCAGACTGTAGCAGCAGATCACTCTTATCCACCCCTGGAAGATGGACCGATGAGAGATGCGAGACAATGAACTCAGGTGGGAGGAAAACAGCTGGGGGTGAAGTAGGAGGGTAGAGGGAGCTTTAAGAACCATGCAAAAATATATTTAGTACTAAGGAATAAACTCTAACCATTTTCCTGGAAGCTCAGGGTGAATGTTTATTAACCTGGCAGACTTCCTAGCTTCAGACTTTATCTTTGAGGGGAAAAAATCGGACAGGAAAATCCATTCTCGACAATTTGTTCTTTCACCAAGATTGGCTGACCAGGAGGTGCTTGCACAGGTTAAAGTGGCATTCCATTCAAACCCTAACTAAGCCCAAATCTACTCTCACCTCCATTCTAAGACTATTCTATCTATCCTGTAAAAGAAAAGATGTGTATACTTACCTATTCTGAAGCAGCTCCAGTCCCGTCACATGACCGGCCTCCAACGCGGCTTCAGTATAGAAGAGGGACAGTCGACAATACCTGCCCCATAGTCAGCCTATGGGTGACGTCACCGCATAGGCTTCACAGCCGTTGTCGCTGCTCCTCCTCTACACTGAAGTTGGTGCTGGAACCTGGTCATGTGACCAGACCAGAACGGCTTTAGAATAGGCAAGTGTACACATCTACTCTGTTACCAGGTAGATAGAATAGGGGGTGGGAATAGATTTAGGCTTAATTAGAGTAACACTGGAATTTCACTTTAAGGATATGTAAGGATTAGATTAATATATATATATATATATATATATATATATATATATATATATACACAGCGCGGGTAAAAAAAGTATTGAATATGTCACCATTTTTCTCAGTAAAGGTGCTATTTACATGAAATGTCACCACATGTCGGTAACAACCCATACATTTCATACATACAAAGAAACCAAAACAAATATGTTCAGAAATTAAGTTATGTGTAATAAAATGAAATGACACAGGGAAAAAGTATTGAACACGCTAACTGAAATTTATGACCTTTGACCTTGTTCACAAGGACCCTAAAAGGAAATGCATGCGTTTTTTACATTAACAGAGTGCTCTATGAATTGGGGTACAAAGAGAGTATTAGACAGAACCTTTTTTTAGGCCCATTGATTTACATTGCTCCCTACCTTCCCCACCCCAGCAGAGCTTTTGCACTCAATGGCTAAGACCTAAGAAAGAATATATGTTTTTGTACACTGATACCAAAAAAAGTTCAAAAGCTAAGGCTAAGAATGACATCTTTCCTGACAAATAAGAAGTTTACTATAGGAATTAATGAGTGTTACACAGCTTGTCTAAACATGATATGCCATATTCAGTTCTTGGTACTTTTTAATCTCGAGTATTTCCTAATTTCCACTGTAATGGGAAGTTGAATAAATAATTGATATAAGTGAGTGCCAAGCACAGTTGAGCAGAAGCCAAAGTCAATACTCAATGTTCACGCCGTTAAAATACTACTACTTAATTTAGATCTTGGATCCAGAGGACAGATGCAGTCATTCTAATGACACTTGATATATTAATAAAGACAGTTTTTTATATTCACGATTATCCTGGGCTTTTGGAGCTTGTTCAAAAGGGTTGTCAGGTGGTGTAAATATTATTTATAATGGGAAATAGAATGTAAAAGTGTACATTTTTTGTAGTAATTTTCTTAATGAATACAGAAAAAATGATTGGTAAAACTCACAAGTGCTTTATTAACCACTCATTTTTCTCTGCAATGGCTATTCAAAATAATGAATTCAATTATTTAGAAGTGATGAAAGGTTTAGTGTTATAAACATATACACAGGGGCGGACTGACAACTCATGGGGCCCCCGGGCAATAAGGGATATGGGGCCCCTGTGTTCTTGCCCAAACTCAAAAAAGCCTATGATAAAGGTACCAGGGGCATCTCATGGGGCCCCCTACTGACCCCGGGCCCTCGGGCAGTGCCCGAGTTTCCAAATGGTCAGTTTGCCCCTGCATATACCAAATCCTGTTACTATGTGATGCACAAGTTGAATAAAGTAAAACAAAATAGCTTCCTTTAGCATTTCTGACTGAGCCAAATCTTCCATTTGTGTCTCATGCGCAATCTCTCCCATACAGCTCACAGTGGGAGAGTTTCAACAAAGGAGGCATTGCTCTCAGTCAAATAATGGGCAGTACTAGCTGTGGCCAGATGCTGATTTACAAACTACAGGATTGTGATTTAGCAGTGATAGTGATAATCCCCTGCAACATCTTTTCATCCCACGGTAGTGGAAGAAGGCACAATTTATATGAGATTTGCAACTCTGCTCTGAATTCAGGAGCGGTGCATCATTGTTGTCACACCATCACAAGAAGATGCATTTCATGGACTTCACTGGTAGGACCAACATGTTTTTGTGGGGACTTTGCAGGGGGGCTACAAGAAAGCTGTAAGTGCCGGTGTGCCTATAATTAGGTATTGCAGCACATATTTCATTTAAAAGAGAAGTTTGAGTTTAAAAAAGAAAAAGAAAAACATTTATACTCATCTAGGTTGATGCGGCATTGATCTGATGCTGCATCTGTTTCCGCCACTTCTTAGACTGAGAACTGAGCGATCAAAGACTACTGATTGCTCAGTTCTCAACCTTCAGTGCTGATATTGACAGTCACCATCTCTCTGCTCTGCCCATCCAGAACTCACTGGAGCACTGGGCTGTGCAGGGGGGGGCGGTTGACTTCCTAAGATGCTGTGCCAGCTTGCCAATCCAAGCATTTGGGTGGATCCCAACTGTAAAGTCAGGATCAATCAGGAGCCTGGGCCAGCTTAGTGATATTAGCTTCAGTCCACTGTCAGCAAAAAATGGGTCACTGCACACCTGTGAACCCAAAGAGAAGTACAGCCAAAATAGCTTTGGCTATACTTCTCCTTTAACTGGGGGGGCCATAGTTCTACTTATATAGTGCACTTTTAGATCAAACACAAAAGAGGGACATATGGAGGAAAAGAGCTAGAAGAATTTGATTTTAAAAAAGGGCCAGTTGTGATTTGTGGTAGGGGGTATTTCCGATGCATTTTTTTTTTTTATTTGAATCTGTATTTATTTTAAAAACCCAACTTCAGGCAATAAAAAGTTTTTACCTTGTAATGGGGCTATGCCCTCAGTTAAACGGTTAATTGTTTTTGTCTAGGGCATTGGAGAACAGAGATATACTAACCTGATCCTCCAATCCTCCCTGCATCTCCTGCATGCGGTCTTGTGTGGTGGACTGTTCCTGATGTCATTGAGCCCATAAGTTCTGCTCTGGACATGAGGATGTTGGGAGGAACGTCGCTGGTTCATGGGGAAGTGCTGTTCACCGGTGGAATGGAGGATCAGGTGAAGGTAGGCTTTCCGCTCTCCCCTGGTCAAAATGAGCAGTTAACCCTTGCAGTGTGGGTGCTCAGAGTTGGGCTTTATTCAGGTAAATATAAAATATTAACTATGACTAGCTGCAGCAATAAGGTTGCAAGTAAGCAAGTAAAATAGATCAGGAGAGCTGGAGAGTTGAATACAAAGTTGAATGCCTCAGAGGGGGAAAACCCACCTTTCTTAGCTGAGATGGAATTATCTGGCTTTATTGTTATACAGAGTCTCTCAAAAGGCATACAGTCATTGATGGGCTTGCTTATTGGAAAGCCCAGTGTTCAGTCCAGTGGAAGTTGTGCCAACTTTTTTTTTAATTTGTTTCTATGGTATGCACTTATAGAGTAGGAAGGTGATCAAACCTCTGAAAAGTATCTCCACTGGATGGAATTCCCCTCACTTCCTGAGTAACAACATAAAAGTAATAAACCCATTCTGCCAAAAAAAAAAAAAACTTGTAACACTGGGGAGATTTCTCCTCCCACTCTATACTGTCTGAGTCCTATCAAGGAGACAGGAAGTGGAAGGGGGACCTCTTAAACAGGGACACAGTGAGCAATAAAACATGATAGATTTACCACTCTAAATCTGGCAATACATGGATAGAATTTTGAATGAAAATTCTTAGAAACATTTGTGCAAAAATTCTCACAACAGTCTTTGAACATTTAAATGCTGTTCAAAAGATTTTCTTCAATTTTAACATTTGATTTTGGAATGAGTGGACTTTACTGAATATAAAACATATACATCATTAAAATTAGAGATACATTTTCCTTCCTGCTCCTTCCAATTTTCCCATAAATGTGATTAAAAAGGAATGTTGATTAGATCCACTAATGGTTAGAAAAACTAATGAACATCCTTACAACATTCTGTTCCTAAGAATTTTTGTTGGGAATTCTACCCATCTGTAGCCAGCTTAACCACTTGCTTACCCACCACATTACATATACTGTGGCGGGGTGGCAGCTAAGACACCACAGCATACTGGTACGTCGCTGCCTGTTTCCAGGTTTCGGGCACACCTTCGCACCCCTACTCTGCTGTGATTTGACACAGCAGGAGTTATGAAAACAGATTCTGGCCAGTGATCATGGCCAAGACCTGCTGTTCAGCTGTGTCAAATCACAGCCTAGAGCCCTGTGTTGATAAGCAACACAGGGCTCTATACAAAAAGAATAATTGCTTTGTTTCTTTTTCCTAAGCAGACAAAGGAAACAAATCGATCTGTAGTAAAAAGCAGCACACACAGCACACACATTAACACTTGATAGGCACTCAATCAACCCCATAATTTCCCCTAGTTGTTAATTCCCAGACAGTTTCATTAATACAGTGACAGTGTATATTATTAGTACTGATCACTGTATTAGTGTCACTGGAGATGTCAGTGGCAGTTAGTCAGTTCCTACAGTGTCAGTTAGTGTCAGATTTCCAACCGTACTATCACAGTCGCCATTTCTGTTATAAAACATAAATAAACATTCTGGCATATATATTATAGTTTCTAGGCACTATAACTTTTACACAAACCAATTAATATACACTTATTGGGATTTATTTTACCAAAAAACTACCAGAATACATTGTGGCCTAAATTTATGAAGACATTTCATTTTTAAAAACATTTTTTTAATTGAATATGTTTTAGAACAGAAAGTAAAAAATATAGTTTTTTCCTCCTAATTTTCTGTCTTTTTTTGTTTATATTATAAAAAATAAAAAACCCAGTGCTGATCAAATACCATCAAAAGAAAGCTCTATTTGTGTGAAAAAAAGATATACAGTACATTTAATGTGGGTACAGTGTTGCATGACCGTGCAATTGTTAGTTAAAGTAGTGCAGTGTTAAATAGCAAAAAATGACCTTGTCTTGAAGGGGTAAAATATTCGGGAGCTCAAGTGGTTAGAGCATCATTTACACAGCTGTATTGTTTTATGCAGGATTTTGCTCCCAGCAGGATCTCGCGGAAAAAGTGGTCCATACACTTACCATTTGTGTTTAAGTTTACATGCATACAGAATAAATGGACCCTACTGGTCGCTGCTACTGCTCAGGACCAACATGTAACTATCAACATTCCTTTTGTGATTTTTTTGGATCCAAATACGTGTCTGGATGCAGCTTTGTTCTATTTTTTTCTTTATGCTGCTGAATGAAGCTTTTTATTACCCTGCCAGGTACGGTTATGTGATTGGGTCCATAGACTTCTATACTGCTGCATACACAACTATATAATGCCCATGTGAATGAGCCCTATATGCAAAACTAAAAAAAGGGCTTTGCAAAATAAAACATTTTATACAAATAATTAAAACAAATGTGTATGTTATAAAATATTAAAATAAATAAATTGTCCAAAAATACCATTTCTTGAAAGATAAAGAAAAAAAATAAATAATAATAAAAACATTACCAAATGATTGCGACAAGTAGAGTAAGTAGAAATCTGATTTGTGCTCCATAATTTAGAGTTTATAATTAACCCTCCTTGGTAACCTGCTCTGTGTATGAAAAGCATCAGCTGTAAATGTACATCTTTATGCTGCTGAATGAAGCGTATTATTACTCTGCTAGGTACGGTTATGTAATTGGGCCCATAGACTTCTATACTGCTGCATACAAAACTATATGATGCCCATGTGAATGAGCCCTATATGCAAAACTAAAAAAAAGGGCTTTGCAAAATAAAACATTTTATACAAATAATTAAAACAAATGTATATGTTATAAAAACATTAAAAGAAATAAATTGTCCAAAAATACCATTTCTTGAAAGATAAAGAAAAAAGCATAATAATAATAAAAAAAAATTACCAAAGAATTGCTACAAGTAGAGTAAGTAGAGATCTGATTTGTGCTCCAGAATTTAGAGTTTATAATTAACCCTCCTTGGTAACCTGCTCTATGTATGAAAAGCATCAGATATAAATGTACATCTGCAAAATAGAAGTCCATTCAGATGTATGCAAATGAATCATAACTTGTTTTCAGGTAACTAATTACTGTAATGTGGTTCAGAGCACCTTGATAGGTGTCTCTTCCCAACGCCAGGAATAACATTTGTAATCCGTTAAATGCACTTAAGAAATTGATGTTACAGCCCCACAATCTGTTAGGGGCCTTGCTTCCTGGCGGATGGTAAAGTATCCCAACCTTAATTGGATCATCAGAATGTGATCCTCGTTCAGGTCCCCGGATTATATAAGACTGTCTTTGCTCGGATGCATTGAACCGACGTCTTCGTGTTCAGGAAATTTTGACCCTTAATGTAGATAAGTGGTATTTTTCATCAATCTTAGCTTGCATTAAAAAAGGTAAATGTCAGTTCAATGTGGGGTGTTTAACTTAATTTAACATCTTTTAATTTAATACCTTGGAAAACTTACTGCGTCCACGACCTGGCTTA